GATATATTTCTAGGCTGGAAGCTAATTTCACTTGAAATGTGAAGATGTTGCTTGCTGTTTTCTAGTGTCTTATACTTCCCCTGGAAGGCTTGGGCAGGCCTGACTCTTAGGCTCTGATCTGGGTTCCTTCCCCATTGCAGACATTTGAATTTCAACTTTTCTATTCTCTGCCTAGTCCAGTAACAGTCATGCATGCATTTTCTGTTTTCCAAAATTGTGTTGGTTTTGCTTGTTCCTCTTTGTTCTTTTGGGTTTACAACATTGCCATTTCGTAGCTGTTATGTTAGTGCAGTGATGGTGAACCTTTAGGAGACTGAGTGCTAAACTGCAACCCAAAACCCACTTGTTTATCACAAAGTTCCAACACTGCAATTAAATTAGAATACTTAGAGGTTTTAGTTTAGAAAGAACAACCTTACCATCTTTTGTCTTAGAAGAAAAATACAGTAATACCATGCTATAGGTTCACCACCGTTGCCATAGTGGAGGGAGTAGAGGTAATTACTGCTGTTCACCATGCATAACTAGAAATCTGACAAATGCTTTCCATAAAAAATTTTAAGAAATATTCCTGAGATTGTTTTTCCAGAATAATTAACCAAGTAAAAAGGTTAATTTTATTTATTTTGGTAATGGGGATCGAACTTGGGACCTTATACTTGCAAGGTAGGCAGCAGAACCCCTGAGCTAAATCCCTGGCTCCTGAAAAGGTTAATTCACATACTAATTTCTCTGACAATATTTTCTTTCTCACCTCCAAATGTTCTATTAAAAAAAATTCTGGCCAGGTGTGGTGGCACACTCCTGTAATCCCAGCACTTAGGAGGCAGAGGCAGGATTGCCGCCAGTCTGGGTGGGGTATATAGTGAATTCAAGGCCAGCCTGAACTATAGCGAGACCCTGCCTCAAAGAATAAAAAAATTCTTCCTGTAATTCTCTTAGCCAGTATTTTCATTTTAAATGAGAAGATGGATCAGAGTCATACCTAAATAGTAAATACACAGTTTAATGTTTCTAATTCTAATTTTATAATTCTTTTCTAATTTTATAATTCTTTTTTAAATAACAACCATATTAATCTTTTCTTTCATTTATGTATGTGAAAAATTTCAAACATGAATGTAGGGAGATACAGTGGAAAGAGTGTACCTCCTTGTCATTTCGACTGTGGGTGATGTGCCTGTGGAGGTTTATCACTTACAGTGAGCACACTTGTGGGAAACCTTCGTAATGTGGGAGCCAGAGTGAATGGGTACTCTGTGCACCTTCCTCTCAGTTTAACTGTGAACTTGAAACTTCTCTTAAGACCTTTTAAAAGGGCTTGTCCCTTCTGAGAAGATTCCTTGTTTTCTTGTGTTCTCTTAGTGCCTGCTGCATGCTGCAGGTTTTTACTTTGTTTACTTCTTTGTGATAGCAGCCTCTCAAAAGCTCTAACTTCCTAAGAGCCACGTAGTATAGGACATACTAGCAAAGTCAACAATTATTTTCCTAATTTAAAAAAAGGCAAAACTAGTATACGAGTCAACCATGTATTTATCAGCAGAGACCAACATTTTGTCAATTTTTGTTTTGATTTAATCGTTTTCACAACCTGTTAATATTCTTCAGTATATATATTTGATGTACAAAATAACTTCTAAAAATCACAATGCCATGATTATACCTAACAAAATTGAGTAATTCCTTATTATAGTCTAAACCCAGTAACCAGTATACACAGTATAAATATACAGCAGATGATTAAATTTTAAATTTATTAGGGTAAAAGAAACATTGCCCTTAATCTCCCTCAAAAATACTTCTTCCTTCTAATGCTTCCCTACCCATCATTCTTGCCACTTTATGAAGCAGCTGTGGAAGTCCTCATTCTTGTGTGTTGTGATAAAAAACAGGAATGCTAAGTGCCATCCAATGGAAAGGCAGGCTCATAAACCGTGTTGTCTTCATCTTTATTCACCGGATCTGGTACCATATGACCACCTTCCCTAAAGAAGGGAAGACCATGAAAGGGAAGTGTTTTGAATAAATTCAGGACATTGCAGCAGCTACAATTGTGCGACTGAAGACACTTAGAAAAGACGACTTCAGAGCTGCTTCAGAAAGTGTCAGAATAATGAGATCTGTGTGTTGGAAGTGGGGAGGAAGATTTTAAGGAGAACTAATGGCAATGTGTCTTTCACTGTAAAAAATTTAAATTTTTAACTACCTTTTTTTTTTTTGGTTTTTTGAGACAGGGTCTCACTACGTAGTTGAGACTGACCTGGAACTCACTATGTAGCCCAGGTTAGTCTCGAACTCACAGCAATCCTCCTGCCTCAGCCTCCTGGGTACTGGGATTACAGGTGTGCACCACCACGCCCAGCCTAACTACCATATTTTTTTATCACACCTCATGTATTTTTCTGCTTGTCTCAAAGTCTATTTTCACCTTTGCTTCAGTATCCAGCTTGGGTCCACAGAGAGCATTTGGTTGTTCCTGACCTCGGGACTTATTCAGTCTGTGATAGTCTTCCTCTTTTCCCCCCTTCCATACTGGTACTTTGTTTGTTTGTTTGTTTGTTTGTTTGTTTGTTTTGAGACGGGGTCTCATTAAGTAGTTGAGACTGACCTGGAACTCACTGTGTAGCCCAGGCTGGTCTCGAATTCACAGCAATCCTCCTGCCTCAGCCTCCCGAGTGCTGGGATTGCAGGTATGTGCCACCACGTCCGGCTGCATACTGTTTTCTTTTGAAGAAACTTCTGCAGATTGATATGTTCTTCCTCCACTCAACTTTGGGTCTTGCATGTGATAGGCCAGCAGTGCTGTACTGCAGAGCACTTGTCTTCTCCTGTTGCCGCATTGGAGATATGAGGGAATGCTGCTTTGTGATTTCACTTTGCTCTCCACTCTGTCCTGTATTTCCTGTGGACAGAACTTCAGGTTTGGGTCACGGATCATCTTTGTTATATTGCATTTGATCACCTGATGAGTTTAGCATCCACTTAGGATCATGGCTCAGACCTGTTATTTCATTAGGTGTTGCACTTTGGTAGTTCTTCTAATTACATATTTTTTTGTTTTTTTTTTTTTTTTTTTTTTTTTTTTTTTTGTATTAGGAATTGAACTGAGGACCTTGTACTTGCAAGGCAGGCACGATGCCCACTGAGCCAAATTCCCGGCCCTATTAGCTGTAATTCTTAATGAAGGACTTTCTCTTAGCTATTGGTTTTTTGAAATCAGGAGAGACAAGACAGATGGTTACTTTTTTGTCCCTTGAGTTGATGCATTGGTAGCTTCACTGGTGATGGACAAAGGGTGTGTGTGTGTGTGTGTGTGTAACAGGGATCAAACTCAGGACCTTGTATGTGCATGGCAGGTGCAGTGCCACTGTGCTAAATCCCCAGCCCAAACTTTATGATTTTGACACAAGATGTTCCAAGCTTATTTTGTACAAATGGCCATTTCTCCAAGGAACCAGTTTTTGTGTTTGTTTGTTTGGTTTTTGTTTTTGTTTTTTGATGGATAGGTTTTAGAAACAACAGGCTTAGGTACTAGCAGTTGATTATTGCTGTGTTGTCTTTGTTCTAGACATTTTTTGTGGACAGAGCTGGGAAAATGAGTTTTAGATAATACTTATTATTGTTTAGTCCTAAGCATGTATTCTACATGGAGCTACCTGTGCCCCAGAACTGCTCTGATTTTGGGCTTGTAAATCCTTTAAAGAGTTCTTTCCCAACTTAGTAACTAAAGTACTTACTTGTTGCCTTCTTCCTTTTCCTTCTCTTCCTCCTCCTCTTCCTTCCTTCCATGTCCTGTCCTCCTCAGCACACTTTCCCCCTCCCCTGCCCACCACAGCCAAGGGCTGAATGCAATTTGTTTTCTTTTTGATTCTTTGGGGAGGTACAGTCAGAATACTATATAGGATACATACTAATTTCTTCATTTTATGTTTATATTGTTGCTTTTAGGGAGAAGAATTATGTATTTAACATATAATATTTTTTAAAAATATAGGTCGAGTATCTCCTTACTTCAAATACATGAGACCAGAACTGTTTCAGATTATGTATTCATGTATATTTAACCCCCCACAAAGGTAGTATAGACTATAAACACTTTTGTATTACTATTTCTCTTGGTGATATATTCTGGAGATTACTCATTACCATTTAGAACAGCTTGTTCCTTTGAACAGCTGTGTAGTAATCCATCATGTCCATTGCCATGATTTATCTAGTCAATCTCATACTAATTCAAACTACCCTTTAACTCTAAAGAAACACTGGTGTGGCCAAAGCTGAGAGAATTTGTTATGATGGAAAATTTTTAAAAGTTGCAATTTCTTTCTGTGTTACATGCCTAAATTGATAATCAGAAGTGAAAGTTTTCATGAAATGGATTTTACTCACCTGTGCACCCTGATTGACTTTAAATTTGAATCTTTTAAAACATTTTTATTTAGGTTTGTTTGTTTTTTGCAGTACTGGGGATTAATCCAGAACCTTCACATTGATCTACATTCTCAGCCCAGGCTAGGCTCAAACTATATCCTCCTGTCTCAATCTCCCAGAGTGTTGGGATTGTATGTGTGTGCCCCACCCAATTTAAACCTGAAGCTTTTTTGATGGAACTATTTTAAATTTCTTACAATCATATAGAGAGTTTTGTTTTGCCATACTAGGGGGATTTCCTTGTTATTTTATTTAGTCTGTATTTTGTACTTTTCCAATTTCTCTGTGTCATCTTGCAGTGTGAAATGTTTATCTGCCATGGCTCTAGTTTGGTATGTCTGATTCAGTGCAGCTCTTGTGTGAGTTTTTATATCTGGTTTCTTGTGGTCTAGGGCTTATGGACAGAAAAGTCTCAAATTTAACATGAGTGGCATTACACACCATATTTGCTAGACTTACAGCAAAATTTTTAAATTAAAAAAACAGCATATGTTTGTTGTTTTTGCTATTATAATTTTTACAGTGCATGGGTGTGACTGTCCTTCAAAGCCATTTTTCCTCTCCACCAGATGTTCTGCCTTATTCTGTACGGGTCCTCCTGGAAGCTGCTATACGAAAGTGTGATGGCTTCTTTGTGAAGAAGGAAGATGTTATGAACATTTTAGACTGGAAAACCAAACAGAGCAATGTGGAAGTGCCCTTTTTACCTGCCCGAGTTCTTCTTCAAGATTTTACGTGAGTGATAGGTTTACATTTCATAAGTGAATTTTCAGTGTTTTTGTTTAAAAATTTGGGCTCTGATGGATAGATGTTAAATTTGAAGGTTAGTTTATAAATTTTTTAAAGTTGTCCTTTCTAAACAAGTGATCCAATAAAAATTAGGCACTCGTTTCTTATGCCATATATTTAAAAACAGCTTTTCCTTAACTTTTCTTGTTTGTCATCTCAACACAGCTACTAGTTTTTTTAAACTTACCAAACCTTGATTTCTTTATTCTCCACCCCCCCAACATATTTCTTTCCAGCTCTTCTCTGGCATAGTAAATAAGTGTCACCATGGATTTGCATTTGTTTAGGCCAAAAATCTAAGAATTAGCCTCAATTTCTTTCTCTCCCTAATCCCCTATTTACTACCAGTCTGTCAGCAGATTCTGTCAGTGCTGCCCTGACATGCATCCTATGTCCAGATATTCCTTCCATCTGCACCACTGTCACCTGGCTCTGGCTCCATGTTCCCTCTGCCTGGACTACACTGTGGCTGTCTCACCTGGCATCCTTGCATCCATATTTATAGTCTGCTCTTGACACTAGATGGAATGACTTGGTTATAAAGTGTTCATGAAGACACCTCATTCCTCCACACGCCACATGGCTTCTGTAAAATCCAGCCTATTACAGCCCGAGAGACCTTGCCTGGTCTGGTAATCCAAGGATTCATTATTTGAATAAGTGATCCTGAGCTGAGTTTGGGAAGAGGCTAAGGAGTTGGCCAGATCTCCTCTGCCCACTACCCAAACTGGGTCTGTATGCCATTTCACTGTGTATGCTGGTATTACAGTACCATACCATGTTCTGGTCGTTAATTTATCTTATCCATTTTCTTTTGGTTTTGTGAGACAGGGTTTCAACTATTAGCCTAGGCTGGCCTCAAATTTGAAATGATCTGCCTGTCTCAGCCTCCTGATTATAGTGTTCCACCACACCAGTTCCTACCAATTTCTTGAGAGCCAAAACTATGTCCTATTTGACCTTTTACCATTGATGTCTGGCACGTTGAAGGCATTGGTACATGCTTGTTAAACAGTTGGCTGGACATATAGATGCATGAATATGAGGTAGCAAAGGCTGGCAAGAAGGTGCTGGGGAAGGGGGAGGTGCTATCAAAAATGGAGAACAGGAGAAAACCCTACAGGAAGTTTTCTTGATGTTCATTGAGGCCTCCGTATATATTTTTTCTGCTTCTTTTGGCCTATCTGCCAAGCACTGAAGTTCTGAAATAATATTTCATGTTGATTTTCAGTAAAATGGGACACATCTAGCTTTGGATAATAAGGATATAAAAAATGAATCCAAGCTAAAAAGATATTTTTAAAAATAAAAATGAGTAATAACATGTTGATTTTGATTTTGGGATTTTTTGGTTTTTTTGGGTTTTTTTTTTTTTTTTGGCAGTTCTGGGGATTGAGCCCAACATCTCTACTACCAAGCTGAGTTCCTAGCACAGTGTTAATTATTTATTAACATTTATAAAAGTAGTCAATAGTAATTTAACTCTTCTGTTCACAGTGGAATACCGGCCATGGTGGACTTTGCTGCTATGAGGGAAGCAGTGAAAACCCTTGGAGGTGATCCTGAGAAAGTCCACCCTGCCTGTCCAACAGACCTCACCGTTGACCACTCTCTACAGATCGATTTCAGCAAATGGTACATGAATGTAGATGCTTAACCGGAAGGGCACGGGGTAGCAGCGGAGCCAAAATGCTGGGTTGCCAGAATGGGGTGTGTTTGCACGGCTCACTGGTGTATTAAAGGCACAGCTGGTGGGAGAGTTTCTGTACTCAGTCCAGATCTAAAGCCACTTTTGTGCCTGCATATTTTGCTGCCATTTTTGGTAGAAATACACAAGCCTAGGACCTGCTTTTTGGACTGAATGTCTGAATAAAGTCTGTTCCCTTTTTGTCTTTTAAACTACCTTTCAGAGTGAATCTAAAGGTTTGTCTTTAATTGGTGGTTGAAAACACTAAGGTAACTACAGCTCTTTTTCATTTCCACTTAATGTTTATAAGGCCCCTTTGGCCAAGGCACAGCAGAAAATACCTGTTTTCTTGTGGGGCATCAGTCTTCTCATGTTCCTGGAGCAGCAGACTAATACTGCAACTTATTACAGCTCATGAGAGGTTTCACTCTATACTGAAACTGTTGGCTCTGTACTTCTAAGTTGTTAAATGAAAAAAAAGTATTTTGGTACTTGCTAAAAGTTATTTAAATTGGCACTGAGTGATGAAAGTGATTGTCTTGGGCACCTGGAATTATGTTTTCATGTCCATAAATATAAATTACGTGTGTCTTTTTGTTTTGTGTGTTTTATTTTTGTCATCTAAAATTTGCTTTTGAGACCTGAGTTAACTGGGTCATGTTAGCTTTTAAGTATTACTTCCAGATAGCATTGCAGTGTGCATTGTTTGAAAAGCTAAGTTTCTGTCTCTGAACTGGTTTGTTTCCTTTTGGGACAATAGTGCAATACAGAATGCTCCAAATCCTGGAGGTGGTGAGCTGCAGAAGGCTGGAAAATTGTCTCCCCTGCGAGCACAGCCGAAGAAGCTGCCCTGCAGAGGCCAGGCTGCCTGCCGAGGATCCTGCAACTCTGCAGAGCCAGGCCGCATCTCAGGAACATTCGCTGCACAGATTGAGAATGCACCCGTCCTGTGTCCTTTTCATTTGCAACCAGTGCCTGAGTATGAGATGGTTTCTGTTAATATTTACTGTTGCCAGGTTCCTTTTCAGTGAGGAAAATCACACATTTCACTACCCAGTGCCTTTTGTGTTACCCTTACATGTATGTCCTTCATTGTGTTTTTATTGATGCTGAGGGTTGAGACCTGGCCCTTGCACATGCTGGGCATGCACTCTGTCACTTAACTGTGTCTCTGGTCATATTTATGACTAATGTGGGCAAAAAAAGGAATCTCAGCAGATGTGGTACATGCCTGCCATCTGGTTACTCAGGAAGCCAAGGCAGGACAATCTCAAGTTCAAGGCTAGCTTGAACAACTTAGCAAGATCCTGTCTCAAAACAAAAATAGAAAGGGCTGAGTATGTACCTCATTGCCAGGCCTTGGGTTCAGTCTCCAGTACTGCAAAAAGAAATTAGGATCTCATTTTAAATTGAATTTTTTGTTTTTGTGACTTTGTACTATAGGTGTGCTCATTCATATTTCTTTTTGTTTAGCTTTTCTGTCCCTATTAGAGGAGTTTTTTTCATACTGCATTAAGACCTCTGTGTTAAAAATATGATCATTATCATATATGTTATAAACCTTTTGAGCTATTTGAAATAAATGATTTACTTCATGGTACCATGGCAAGTAGTAAACATGTTTAGAAAAGAATCCTATTCTTAGAATGTGCTTAAATTCCTAATAGCTAATTTTTCAAAATAAGAAAAGGAGTTCTGTGGCTTGAATTTTTATATTCTATTAAGTTTCCATTGTTTATCCTATTATAGATTAGAAAAATTTTTAATTTAGTAAGAAATTATACTTTAAAAAATTACCACATTTCAGATTTAGAGTGGCTAAGAAAAATAGCCACACATATGTATGGTAAATGTCAAATAATTTATTAATTTTTCCCCCAATTGGATCTTTAAAATTCTGTTTCATTTTAGGCTCCGTATTTTTGTAAAGCCTCAAGTTGTAGTGATCTCATGCCCTTTTCTAAGCATTCATTATAATCTGTGAGTCCTTTGCCATGAAATTATTTATAGCACTGTGTCGTCATTCTTTATTCCTGCTCCCTTTTTGCTCTAGTTGTTAAGGTCATGTTGTCTTTTGAGATTGATGTCATTTATATGGAAATTCATTTTCTGAAAAGGAAGTTTTACTGATTCAGAACCACTGGTTTCTTTTCAGTTGTGAAGTGCTTATTTTACTTCTAAGAATCTATTCTCACAGTGCCCTTCAATTTTGACTAAATTATAAAGTATTATAGTCCCTGTTGCGTGAACATAATAATTCTTTATGTTCCTTACTGTATTAGTGAAATATTAATGATAGGTTCAAACAAGAAGTTGAAGGGTAAAGAGTCAAGCTTAACATATAACGCTGAACATCACTGCCTAAAGTGGAAATCGGCCTCTGTGCTGATGAATGTGTGTATGGCACTTTATGGCCATAAGTGCTGTGGACCTGTGAGGTATTAGAGTGGCTCTGGAATTTGGAAAGCCGTGTTCCTTGAGACCTGGAGAAAAAACCCACTAAGATGTGCTATGGTTTCAGATTATCTCTCAGCCATGAATTATTGAAATACTCTTTGTTTTAAAAAAAATTTGACAATTAAACAACTGTGATTATGTGGGCCCTAGAGGACAGGTGTAATTTAAATTACATTAACATTCAGTCAGCACTGACTCACCAGCTGGGAGTTGAAATAAATCACATAAAGAATTTGGAGTAATATTTTTAAAATATCCACTTGATAAACGATTTCCTAAAAATGGTAATGTTTCCTATGTAAAGGCGAGATTTTATCTCCACCTTAAATAACTGCCATAAAATATATTTATAATACCTGTAAACTTAACTGCTACTTAAACATAAAATAGAACTTTTCCTTTTGTGTGAGGTGAATAAAACATTTTTGGCTGAAAGTCTTTCTTAAACTATAAAATGATGTTCAGGTGTTGTTATTGTCACACACTGATAATCAACCTCCACCTCTCCCTTTAGCTTGAACAGCATTGCTTACTGTTGAGTAAGCTCCCACACTGTTTCCTAGCAGTGGAAAAGCCTAACAAAGCTGCTGCATCCTACTGTTACACTCTCAGTCAAGTGTCACAGTCCTGCATTTTAAGTACAATTTGGGGCATTGGTGTGGACATTGCTTTGTTCTGCCTGGTAACATAACTCTGTAGCTATCTAGTGTGTTAAATAAAACAAAACTTCCCTGTTGAAAAAGAAAATAACTCTGGAAAGTCTAGTAAATTATTTTTCCAAGGATTTATATTAACTGTGTGGATCCATGAGTTACGACTGAGAGAACAAGGTATCTTTTTATAATTCATGCAGTGTATTATAATAATACCAGCTTTTTTTCCTCATAGACCTGAAACAGTGTTAAAAAATCAAGAAACGGAATTTGGCAGAAATCGAGAGAGGCTTCAGTTTTTCAAGGTATAAATGATTTGGGGAAATTTTTGTACTGACATTTACCAATAAGTATAATTTTTATACATGACTAGTGGTGATGCCTCTCCACATCTCCCAGGATTGAACTCAAGACCTCATGTGTTAGGCAAGCGTGCTACCACTGAGCTGTATCTCCAGTGCTTTTCAATTTGAGACAGGGTCTTACCAAACTACCGAGTTGGCCTATATTTTGCATTCCTTCTGCCTCAACCTCCCAGTTAACTGGGATTACATGTTTGTACCACTCCCTGCTTCTAGACAGGGATTTTTAAAGGCTTTCTGACAGTAGAACCCTCTTGTTTTCTCCAAAACATTAAGTTAAGGCTCCAAAATCTTACGGGAAATAAGCATATATGAAAGATGAACATGGTGGTCTCATTCATGTGAGTTGGAGAGGGCCTTGTGCTTAGGCCTCCTCCTCCCTTCTCCATAAGAGTATTTACAGCGCCACCTAATGTTGCCATTTATCTGGACTGTTGGGATATTATTTTCTTAGATCTAATTTAATTTTGTTTTAGTAACCTGCAAAATATGTGGGCTCTGCATATTGGTTTTCTAACGTGTAATGTAAACTTTGATCATGTTAACATATTTTTAGTGTCCATATTGATTTGTCTGTATTATGAATTCAGGATCATAATGTACTAACACATGGCATTTCTTAAATCTAAACAAAACATAGTGGGGTTCAAGAGTCTTTAAGAACGTGGCTGTGGTCCCTCCGGGAACAGGAACAGCTCATCAGGTGAACTTGGAATATCTGTCCCGAGTGGTCTGTGAAGAGAAAGACCTCCTCTTTCCAGACAGTGTGGTTGGCACGGACTCTCACATAACCATGGTGAATGGTTTGGGGATTCTCGGATGGGGTAAGTGACAGATGGGTATGATTTCAAAATTTCTATGAGGGGTCGTTAGGAGTTTTATCAAAGAACAAAAGCCAACCTTGACAACTTTTCTGTGGCTGGCTGGCTGGCTGGCTTGCTTGCTTGCTTTCTCTCTCCTTTTTTCTTCCTTTCTTTCTCTTTCTCCTTCCTTCCTTCCTTCCTCGGAATCCTGCAGCAACTTTGCTGCCATAGGAATCCAGATTCTTTCAAAGTACTTTATTCCAAGCGTTCTCAATTTAGTGCCTCCTTAGCCATTCACCTCCACTACAGACAGACTTGGCATTTTTCAAAACTTCTGTGCTTACACAGCTTTGGTGACCCTCTTACTGTGAAATGTGGCTGCTCTTACTTCCTACTTCCACAGTGAAACTCAGTTGTTTCTTGAAAGCCTTACCTCTCACAGAGTTAATTTTTTTTTCATTAGACTGAGCTTTTATGTGTGGCAGAAGGTACTGTAGATTTAACCTAGGACATTGACATGGGGCTGTGTTCCCAGCCCTTTTTTATTTTCTTTTGAGACAGGGTCATGCTAACTTGCCTAGGCAGGGTTCAAACTTGCAGTCCTCCTGCCTCAGCTTCCTAGAGTGCTGGGATTACAGGTATGCACCAGTATGCCTAGCTAGACTGAGCTTCTTAAGGTTAACAGAGGCTGGGTTGAATTCATATCTGTATTTTCAGCATAGTATAATGCCCAACATGCTCACTGAACATTTATATATTTACATTAAATATAAATATTGTAGCCAGGCGTGGTAGTATATGTCTGTAATCCCATCACTTGTGAGGCTGATGCAGGAGGATCACTGCAAGGTGAAGGCCAGCCTGGGCTACATGGTCAGTTCAAGGCCAGTCTGAGCTACATCTTGTCTCAAAACACACAGAGAAAGAAAATTATATATTAAATGTAATATAAAGGCAAAAATATCAGTGTTTTTAACCAATTGAGTAGTCATTACTTTGGGCTTGCCTTCAAAATCCACAGGAATAGCAGTGCAGCAACTCTTTGTGAGGTATTATACAAATCAGGCTCACAGAACACCTGGAGATTAAGGTGTTACCGGGCTGCTGAACATAGTGGTGCACACATGTAGTCCCAGCACTCGGGCAGCTGAGGTAGGAGGATTGCCTGGGCTAGATAATTAGTTCAAAGTCAGCCTGAACTACACATAATGAGGCCCTGTCTGAAATAAATAAATAATTAAAGTTACAAGGCTAATTTAAATTACCTTTATACTCTGCTAATATCCCTGTTTTTACTCTAGGAGTTGGAGGCATTGAGACAGAAGCAGTTATGCTGGGTCTGCCAGTTTCTCTTACTTTACCAGAGGTGGTTGGATGTGAATTAACAGGGTTGTCTAACCCTCTTGCTACGTCCATAGATGTTGTTCTTGGCATCACAAAGGTGAGTGGGAATTACCACTGTCTGACCTAGTGAATATCATTTTTACATAAGAGCAGCATTGTGGTTCATCTCTCCATCCTTAGGTCTCATAGTATTAGCCACATCATCATAGTTATTGTAAAAGGAATAACAGCAAACAAAAACATTTAGTTTATAAATACAGAAAAAATAAACTCACTTATTCATTATAAGCCTATGAAATCTCTGTTCTAATCATTTTAATTTTTTATTTGTGTGGGGCACTGGAGATTGAATTCAAGGCCTTCTCACTGAGTTGCACCACCACCTCATTTTTTAAATTCTTTATTTTGAGATCTTGCTAAAATGCCTAGGTTGGGCTTGAACTTGCAGTTGTCCTGCCTCAGCCTCCCAAAGTGCTAGGATTACAGGTATGCATTACCACACTCTGGCTTTTAGTCATTTTAATTCTGAGAAAACTGGAGCACTTGAGATTTAATTCCAAAGGTTCCTAGGACTAAATGGCTTAGTGATAGAACAAGTTTTCTGACCTACCTAGGCAATGAAGATACTACTTCATGCTCTTAACTGTTAATGTATTATTGCCTAAGTAAATACCTGTTCACTACATGAATCTTAGCAAAAGTCTGTTTGCTTCTCCTTTAATATTTAATTATTTGCCCTTTAGGAGCCATTACTCTACTCATTGTTTCCAAATATGGACTCTTTTTTTTTTTTTTTTTTTTTTTTTTT